TATATATATATGTGTGTGTGTGTGTGTGTGTTTGTGTGTGTATGTATAAAGGTGTTTTAAACCCTTCACACAATCTTGCAACTATTTAAACAATGTTTCTAAACTCTCAACGCTCTAAATGAGCACAGAATGTCATGATTTCAGTTCTCTGTCTCCTCTGCTCTCAGCCACCTGCAAGTGCTCTTGACCCCGCCCACTTTTCCGCTCTGCACGGAGAACAGCTGATCAGCTGCAGCAGGAAATTTATCCTGAAGGATGTGCTGCACAAAGGTGCAGGAGGTGCTAAATAATTTAAAATAATTTATTTTAATTAGAAATTTCATGTCAGTTGTCCGGCTCATCCATCAATCAGCCAACTGTGTGTCATGTCCAATCTTATTTTGAAAAACCGCGATAGAGCGAATCAGCAATAAATGAATTGTAAAGTAGTTTTGGGACTACTGTAAATGCTAATGTTGAAAACATCTTTGGAGCCATCCCATCTGGTGTATGTATGCTTTTTAAAGAACATCATAGTATTGACTGTCACATTATTACCTGTCCATCCCCTGCAAATACAACTGTAGGGATTTTTTTAAAAATTCGGTCATCCTGTAAATAATAACAAACTTACACGATCCCTATTTCAGAAGAACATCACAACACGACCAGTTATTGTTGTGCTTTGGAACAGGTTTGTTAAGGGGATATCATGGAAAAAGGTTTGGCGCCTTCTGCCGAACAAATACTGTTGAAAGAAATCTCCTACAAAATTATCTATAAAATCTATCCAGCTAAGTCTTATATCAAAACTAGATTCAAGAAAGAAATTGATATTAACTGTGGTTTTTGCGATGGATGTCCTGAAACTGTTCTCCACTTGTTTTGGTACTGTATATTTGTTCATTTATTTTGGCAGAAACTATGTGACTTTATTCACAATATTATTGAAGCACATTCTGTGCTTCTGTGGAAGCATGTGTTGCTTGGCCTCTATGAAAAAGGTATGCATCAAAACAATTCTGACTACCTTATAAACCTTCTATCACTGGCAAAATATCACATTCATTGTAGAAAATACTCTGGAAGGAAACCAAGCTTTGCTGTGTTTTTACAATGAGGTCAAGTATTACGTTCAGACAACTGTTAAAAAAGGCACTAAAAACCATTGAGATATGTACAGCTGTGAATGTGATGTTAGAACCATACGCCCCCTAGCATATTTTCCTGTGTTCAGTTTCCTGTTTGTTTATTTTGTTTCTGTTTAGATTAATATCTTGATATGTACAACAATTTTTTTCTCTTTTAATGCGAACCTTGTTTTGTAAACTGTAAATGTGCAAATACAGTAAAAAAAAATATTGAAAGCACTACAAAGTCACAGTTTGATTACATCAGTTTTCTTTCAGTTTCTCAATTCAGACTCTTGCAGAACAGGAAATGCTTGCAATCTTTTTATACGTCATGTACAACATCTA